CTTTCCCTCTTCTTTCAGAAGTTACTTTCGTGAAGTGGTATTCAGATTGGAGTGATCCTGTTTCCTCTTTTCTCTCTTCCACTACTGGGTCTTAAGGCTTCTCTAGTACTTCTCTGGGTTCTGCTTTTGCCTAGAGCCTCCAAGTTCTCCTTGCAGGTGGATGTCAGCTGCTCTGCTGAGCCTGTTTTGTTTAGTCCAGTGACTTCACTGTACGTACATCAGGTCGTGCCCTTGCACTGGGAAGTGATGTTCCCTTGAGCACAAGCAAAGTGTGGGTGGAGGGCTGCTAAAATAAAACGCTTCCCCTTGTGCTGGAGAATTCCTCTTTGGACTACTTCTTCCGAGGGCCTACTTAACCTTTTGTTGTTTGAGAGAAGTTGTTGACATCCATGTAATCAAAATTCTGCTCACAGAATATGATTGAGAATTCCCAGGAGGCAGAAGGGAGGAGTTGCCATTGTACAGGACTTTAGTGCAGGAGATGTCTGAATTAACTCAGTCACTTCCCAGAGAATCAATAAAATGAGCAGATTGAGTGTCATAGATCACTTGAACTCTTCCCTTCAACACCTCATTTCTGCTGTAACTGGTTCCTGACCACTAGTTCTGGCAGCAGGCAGCTATGAATGGAAGCAAAGCCGTTTCCCTACTATATTGGTCTCTCAGTGCTGGGCACCAAGCCCGGTGCATGTGTAGAGGACAAAGCCAGCAGTTCAAATAGATGAGTAATACTAAAATTTGATTTTTAAATCCTGCACAAGGCATGTTTTCTCAGTTCAAAAAAGGTGAGGGTATTTGTTTCTTTGGCTAGTGAGATTTTTTTGGTTTTTTAGCTGAAAGCAATGCTGAACTCTGCCACTGACACAATATTAATGCTATTAAATATAAGAGCACTAGGCAGAGACGTGGCAGAATCGATTTCTCAGGCGCAGGGAAAGTTGCTGGTTGCTTTTTCTGCCTGCCATTAGCAATTTGCTGCACACGTGTTCAGGAAAATGTTGGAAACTGGCCACTATTCAAACAACTCAAAGCGAACTTGTGGGTGCAGGTGAACGCTAAGCTGCTGTCTTCTGAAGCAAACTCGCACGCTGATTTTTACTGGAATACCAACCAATGCAAATTTACTTGTATTTTGCCACTGCCTGTTTTCTATGTGTTTTCTCTAATGAAATATAGGATAGGAAACTGTTTTGAGAACTGCATAGAACCACATTGCTTCATTTTGTGAATGTGGGAGCAAACTGGAAAGCTGTAGGGAACTGCCCTACTGAGGATGTGGTACTTGGAGTCATGATTCCAGGTTCTTCATGCTAATGGCTATAGCTCCTACTTCTGCTTTCCTGGTGTTCTGCTGATAGTGTTGGCCTGCTGCCAAGATGCTGTGAAGGGGTTTTGGGTCACGTGATTAGGAACTGGTCATTTTTTCCTGTGTGTGCTTCAGTGACAGCGCTTCAGGCTTCTGTGTGGAAATCTGATCAGAATATAATGCTAAGTAAATGGAGCACGAAAAACTAGTGAAGTCAAGTGCTACATACAAAAGAACAAAGGACCATTCAGAAGAGGACCCGAGCACTTGTTTAAGCCTGTGGGTAAATTTTTCTTGAACTGCAGTAAGTGATGAGCAGGTTCTTAGAGCAGTACAAATGAGTTTGTGCTTCAGGTAACTGTAACTCCTTTGACTTTTGTAGGGTTCATGCATAAACTTAAGCATAGCCTTAAGTACCTTCATGAATAAAGGCTGTCATAGTACGGTGATTATCCAGACAGCTTTTTACAGAATCACATGTTCCTGAATGTTTCAGGGAGACCCCTGGGGCTCTAGTCCAGTGGCCCCTGCTCAACAGGGGTCAGAGCAAGCTGCACAGAACCAGGTCCAGTTGAGCTTTTAATATCTCCGTGGATGAACGCTCCACAGTTTCCCTAGGCAACCTGTCCCAGTGTTTGACCAGCCTCACAGTAAGTGGTTTCTTACCATTTTTCACATTTCCGGCTTGCTTCCCCTGGCTGTGTATCTAAATGTCCTCATGCCATTTTTGCCTTTTTAGCCCTCCTGGGCTTTGCTTAGGTGAATTTGTGTCTAAGTTGCTCAGTTCTTCAGCAAGCTCTGTTTCTGTGGAAGTAGGTACCAAATGGTCTGACACACAGCTGGGATCAGTGTTGACTGATGTCTTGAACATAATCACCTCATTTTTCTCTCTGACTTTTCAGTGGTTTTAGCCTCAAGGCTTAGATTCATGAAAATCTCTGAAATACCTTGCACATTTTGTCAAATTCAGTGCTGCTGGAGCTTTCTCTGAACTGTTGTCAGGTAAAGGGTTCAACAGTTGGAGGCCTCGTAAACTATTACGGTATGTACTTGCTCAGGAAAAGCTCTTCTAAAATTTGTTTCAAATTCAGTAAGTTCTTACTGGGGTCACACTTCTTGCAAGATGTTACAGACGTTCTGAATTGCGTTAGCTGTGGTACTACTCACACTGGACTTGGATTTGCTTTGGGTAAATTTGGGAAAGGTGGGGTTTGAGGCTGCAGTAGTTGTTTTTCTTCAAATTACATGGTGAGCTGGTAGGGGTTGTGCTTGTACCCATGGTGATGATTTTTGTAGTACTGGAGCTGAGTGAGACAGTGTCAAAACACGTTCTGTATTTCCTCAGTGTGTATGCTAGAGCTGCTGGTGTTGTCTGAGGAGGACAGAGACTCCTCCAAAATGCATAATTTCTCTAGTTCTGTAATCTCTCACAGGTGTAAGTAAGATTCTTCTTGCTTGCCACAAACCATGTCGGTATATTCCGGTTGTTATTTGTCTCTCTACATTTCATGTCTTCTGTAACAGAAACTAACAGTTGATGAGTGAACGTGTTCATTTACTTAAATTTAAATTTGTTTCTTTTTTTTCTCATGGTAAATTACTGGCAAATTGCTATAAAAAATATAAAAAATAGTCAATTACTATTTGTATTTAAAGCAGTGAAGCTTGGAAAAAATGTGATTTCAAATGAGAAACGAGGCTAATTCAGAGTAGCAGCAGACCTTAAAGACCTGTTATACTCTGAAGAAGGAAAAACTAAGGAACACTTCCTATCAGATGTTGCTAGACATTCTAAAAATCATTAAGATTAGGTGAGCTTTTTTCTCAATTCCAAATATATGGCAGCCAATAGGAACAGGATGTCTATCACATCTCATTGTGATAGACAAAATTAATTGAGCATTGGACTGGAAGTTAGTGGTTGCCTGAGGAGCAGTGATGATGGCCGGAATAAATTCATTGTTGAACAGCCAGTAACCTTGACAGCTGATACTTCCAAAGGGGTGCTCTGCTTATGCTGAGAAAACCTGTAAAGGGAATTGATCGTGGGGAGGAAATCGTTATCAAAGTGGAATCTTTGCTGAGTTCTGTCCAGCCGTGGCTTCGGTCTGCTCTCTGGGTGCTTTTGCTCGTTTGGGCCTTTCCTGGTACTCAAATG